GATTTTCTCTGCCCTGGCCAGGTTCCACCTGGCTAATTGTACTTCCCTGACAGCATTGTAATTTCAAGTGGAAAAGTTGGCTTTATGTTATTAGTTGTACAGGGCAAAGTTTTTCCAGTGGCCTCCATGAGATCTGACCATCCAGCTCCCTGAAGCTCCTCTGAACTGCCTTGTGGTTTTGTTATTTTGGTGTGTGTGTGTGTGTGTGTGTGTTTGGGGGATTGGTTTTATTTCTGAGCAGATGCTCTGTTGGAGTAGAACTGTCTAGAAACATTTTTTTTTTTTTTTTTTTTTGTTGCCTTGGGCTGTCTTGTACAAGGGCTGCTGTTGCTCTCTCAGCTGTTCTGCAACCAACCCAGAACTTCTCAATAGAAACTTCTCTTTCTTGTATGAAAAGCACAAACCAGTAAAGAAATGTAGATCCTTTGGTGACCTTAATTAGCAGTGATTCATTATGGGGCTGTTCCCTTCGCCAGGGAATCGTGAATGCACAGAAGTCTCACTTGGACCTTGAGTTCCTTCAGCTCTAAAAATGAAATTCCCAGCACTAGCAAGATGCAGAGAATATGTGTATTCTTAGTATATTCCTGTTGCTTAGGAACAGCTGTCTGCAGTGACCCTGTGTTGCTGGTGAGAAGAGTAATGATGTATGAAACTGATGTTAAACAAGCAAGATCAATCTTCCCCCAAAGAACTGTTCTTCATGCTCTTTGATACTCGACATCCTCTGTAAGCAGTGCGTGCTCTGGAGTTTCCGTAGTTGCACAAGCAAAAAATAAGTGAGGCTGCTGGAGGCAAAGCTGTTTGTGGCTACCAACAAACCTCTGGCCGCGTGTGCTTCTTCAAGGCACTGTTCCCCAAGGAAATGCAACTTCTGCCTCTGCAATCCTTTGTGATTAGGTGCCAGTGATGATGGAGATCTTGCTTTGTGTAGCATACTCGTTTGTGATGTGTAATTGTAGTGGAACTGCTTGCTGATGACAGCCTACAGGCAGTGAGCCATAATCCTCCATGTTTACTCCTTGACAGAGAAAGGATCAATATTCTATAAGGTGGAAAATGGAAGGTTTCACAAAAACAACTGGAGGACTTTATCCTGTGTGCTCTGACTTTGCCTAGCAGAGCACCTGAAAACAATCGTGATGGGTGTCCCAGGCCCATTCTATGCCTAACATCAATTGTATGGTTTGCTGGGGCTGACAGCAGAATGGTGTGCCTCCTTTGGCATTTGGAGAGCAAAGTTGTTTTTTTAGATTTTCTTCCTGGCCCTGAAACGGAGCCAAACACCCATTTCCCTCCACTGGCTTCCCTGCCACAGGTTTACTTAACCCTCACGCTGAGAAATGATGGCAAGTGGGCTTACGCATCTTGGCCTCTGCAGAATGATGTTGCTTTTTTGTTGTTTGCACTGGGGAGGAAAATGAAAGTGTTTGTTGTGGTTATTTCCTCTGAACTGCTGCCTCTTCTCACAGCTACTCCCTCTTGGCTGCTAACAGAGGAGCTGCTTTTGCACGCGGTCTTGTTAGGACTGGAGTTATGTCTCTGGGTTCTCCTCCCCATTAGCAGGGAGGCACAAACGTTTTTCCTTCACATGTCCTGTAACAGCAGTATTTATTTTTTTGAGAAATGTTTGGCTTGCATTTATTGGTGCGTTTAGGCAGTCCCCTTGGGGAGATGATGCTCCTGTTGCTGCTGTGTGAGCTGTGCCTGGAGACCATGGCTGAAGGGATAACTTCCTTCCAGCCTCAGTGCTGTGTCTGAGGAATCTTTATTGACTTGTGTGTTTGCTTCGTCACACTTTTGACTTGCGACCCCTGGGAATTATCTGGGAATGTCTCAGTGTCTATGAGTATGTGTGTAGGGTTGCTTGCATAGCTACAGCATGTCCTGGTGTTGTCTCTTCTAAAACTCTATAAATTACCGTGTACTTTGGCTTCTCCAGAGGATTTTGCAGTGCTGGGCATCCCTACCATAGTTGGTTTTTTTCTGGAGGGTGACTATTGCACTGCTGTCCAGTCAGTCTGGATCCCAGAGGCTGTACTGTACTGTGCTGGCTTCCTTGTGTCTTTTTCACCTCTTGGAACCTCCAGTCTGCATTCAGTGTCTGCTATAGCCCTGGGAGAGACCGAAGGCACATCTGGTTATGAACGAGGACTGTGGCCAGTTTATCTACCTGTCAGGCTAGATAGGAAACAGCTTCTGTGGCAGGGACAGCAGCACCTTCATGGGTATAGGTGGGAGCTGAAGCTGGTGGTGGTGTAGATGCTGCAGTCAGGATCTGCAGTGAAACAGGTGCCTAGGGTGACTTCTCCCAGGGTGTTGATAGCTGGAAAGTCTCTCAAAGAGTTGTCATGTGTGTCTGAAACAGATCTTGCCACCTTATTCCCTCTGGCCTCAGAGCTGAGAGCTGCCCTTGCTGCATTGATTTATGGGATCGTTTAGGACTGGTGCTGGTGGCCAAGAAGAGCTGGAGCAGGAAGTCATTTGCTAGCTGCTGATTTATGTTTGTAGCAAACAGTCCTGAAAAGCACAGTGAGAATTTTCTGGACCTTGCACAGTTCCAACTGGCTGTTAGCTCCAGGCTGTTATTTGACCATGTGGAGTAATAAAACCAGGAAAACTAATTAACTTTTGGGGCTACCACAAAACAAACTACTTCATGCAAAAAAATTACTCTGCACTTGCAAGCAACAGTGACTTTATGGGCTCATAAGGCTGTATTTAATGACCAAGCATGTAGTATGATGCATTCCTTTTGCTGGCTTCTAAGGCCAAACAGCATATGATGGGCTCTGCCACTGCTGAGGATCTGAATACCAGCTTGGGGTAATGTTCTCTTTCATCCTTATTAATTATGTAGTTGATGTGTGGGTGGAGGTTTGACACAAAGCTGCATTAGATGGTTTCTTGTAGTCTGAACCAACCTGAATTACACACAGGCAGCCTGAGCCAAAGCAGTTCATTCAAGGAAGGATGCTTTCCGCAGTGCGAGTTCTGGAGGCTTTCTGAGGTCGCTGTGCTTGCTGTTCCCAGCGAAGCTGTAGCTGAATGAGCTCTCTCCCAGTGGGGACACTGAGGTGTTTTTCTGATGTTAGCAGGGAAGCAGTCAGCCCTGATCAGGGCCTGCCTTCTCTGGTAAGGATTCTGTGTTTGTGCCAGTTGTGATGATTACATCAGAGAAGGGATATTTGAATGTTCCTATATTGTTCCTTCTCATTGATGAGACATCTATCAGCATTATATAGCTGATCCAGCCTCTCTTATCCCGTACCGGTAGGGAGGGAGAGAATGGCTGGCCATGCTTCCACTCAGATTGCTAAAGTAGCCCTACTCCTGTCCCACCACTCCTGCGTTACTCAGTACCCCCTAGTTACTGGATATTTATGTGCCTGCATTTTTAGTGTCAGAGTTGTGTGTGCTGATTCCTCTTTTTCCTTTCCAGCGTCTATCAGTTTAGCTGGCAGCAGAGCTTTGGGCAGAGCCTTTGTTCACCAGTACACATGATGCAGCTTTGCCATTCTCTTCTGATCAATAACTCTTCACCTCAGAGATCAGAGCTGGCTCTTTTTCAAAATATAAGGTGCTTTGGAGTAAACAGTGCAGTTGTTTACTATATTTGAGATGGGCAGGCTTGAGCTCTGGTTCCTCAGAAAGTTAGATGTGATGTGTGGCCTGTCCTCCTCTCCTGGTGGAGAAGAGAGGGAGGAAGGCTGCATATTGTACCAGGTCTGCCTGCTGCCCCACTGCGTGGCTGTGGAATGAGGGAGCTTGTCTGGATCTATGTGCTGTGGGGGAAAGGTTGTGTTCTGGCCTGGTCTGTGCCCAGCTCTCAGCCAACCAGTGTCTTTTTCTCATATCTTAGTAAGACAGACATCATGGTGGCTGATAGAGGAGATGATACTTGGAATTTGAAAGAGAAAAGAACTCAAAGACAGAACTGAGATGTGATGGGACTTCTAAAGTATATATTTAAAAGTTTTCCCCTCTTTTTCTGGTGGATGCACTTGGATTGTCATGGTGCTCAGTTCCAGATACCATAGGTCTAGTCCAAGCTTTGGTTTTCTCCTCCAAGCTAAGTATTATTGCAGAGCTATTATTTGACCTAAAATAAGTGTGTGCATACTCGCTGCTACAGAATTCTGCTTTTTCACACATCAAATGAAGTCCCTGTAGATTTTCACCTCCCTCCCAGATCTGGCAGACAGCGAAAAAGGGAGCTATTTTTACTCTGAAATGTTCTGTTTCCAGTCCAGAGTATTAAATGTAGTTTTCTCCTGACAGGCTTCACGGCTGATTGCTATAAAACTCCATACCTTTAAAGAACGGATAAAGTTTCCTATAGGAAGGGCAAAGTTCTGATTTTGGACGGTATTGATCACGGTCCCTTTGGGGAACTGAGAAACAGTGACAATTTCTGTCCTTGGACTGAAGAATTTACGGAGAAGAGGGAAGAATTTACTGTGAAGGAGGAAGAACTTAACAGAGGAGTGTAGTAGGACGCTTCAGAAAGCCCAGTGAGGTAGAGTGGTATTGGAGACCCAGTTCTCCTCCAGGAGATGACAGTCACTTGGTTAGGGATTGTTTTCTTAAAACGTTTCTGGCAACGAGAAGGATCAGCATCACTGGTAGAATGGCACTTGTGTACCTTTCATCTTTCTCTCGTTCTCACCACAGTTCTGTAATTGTATTGGAGTTACTGCTCCATCTGTCCTCTTGAAAGGCTGGCATATATCGCCCAGGAGAGAAGGTGATTTTCTGATCCACACGTTCTCCCCGTCCAGAAGAAATGGGTATAGAAAAAATTTCTTCCTCTCCCTGCTGTTCTGTGCCTCACCTCACTATGATGGGTCAAAGGTGAGGTTACCTTCTAGAATTGGTTTGTCCTTCTGTGCTGACTGTCCTGCACCCACAGGTGTGATGAAGGGAATAACAAGTCATCACTGTCAGGTGTAGACACTTGTCTAAGCAATAAGGACCAAGAACACCGACTTCTTTTTGCCCTAAAGGGAGGAAGAGGGGCTGAGCAGATGTAGCGGTACAGGCAGGTTTAAGTCAGGCAAACGGCATGCTCACTTTTGAAATGCAACTTGAGATCAGGACTTGAAGCTGGGCAATGGGCTGGATGCCTTTTATTTGGTGGGCATAAATCCCTAGTCAGGGACAATGTGCCCTGGTCAGTGCTGAACCCTGCTGTGTCTGTCCCCATCCCTCAGACACTGCAGGAGCTGATTCAGTGCAAAGCCCAGCCCAGCCCAGCTCTCTTCTGGCTCCTAGTTCTGAAGGTGTCATGTATGACAGCCCGGATGGTCTTTGTGCTGGTGGCCCCGTAAGTCCTTACCTGCCCTGCTGTGGCCTTCATTAGCAGAGTTACAGCTAATGAAACACAAGGTAAGGAGAGCCTGCTTGCAGCTTTATGGGCAGAATTTTTCCTTGCTGAATAATTTTTCAGCACCCTGCACACACAGCCTTGGCTTTTGCTGTAAGGTTTACTTAATGTAGCCCATCAGTCACAGCATCCTTGCACCTGATGAGGTTTAATGGGGCTGCTAAGCTCTGGGCCCAGCTGACCATCTGCCCTGCGATGTGCTCCTCTCCTCTTCTGCCTTATGCAGCAGGGAAGCAACACCTCTTTCCTGGGGCTGGTTAGATCAAATTGATGTTTCTGACTGGCCTTCATCTCGATGGTGTTGCTTACCAGATGTGTCACTAAGCAGCAGCAGAGAGACCTAATGGCTCAGATCTGATTAACCTCTGTGACTTTATCCTGTGTCTTAATTGGATTATCTGGAGGGGTTTCACTGTTGCTGTTTTTTTTTTGTTTTGTTTTGTTTTTCTTAAACAGGTACTTATTGCTGTGACATGGGATGCAGGCAACCCTTCAGTCTTGGGATTGCCCCTCATTCCCCAAGGTGCTGCCTACCCGCATGGTGCTCAGTTAAGAGAAAGGAGAACATTTTTACAGGACACCTTCTCCTGTGTCCATCCTTCTGCCTGCAGCACCCAGTGAACTCTTCAACAGGCTTGAAATAGAAACTTTTCTCCTTGCCATAGCTGTAATTGGCTGTGGGTTGAGCACCGGCAAGGGTCATTCACCTATCCGAGATGACAGAAGCTGTACACACTGCTGAGAATATTTCTCTTACATCTGTTTCTAGATAGCAGTACACAGAGTGAAATGTAGGTGTGATATCAGATCACAGCTCTGTTCCATGAGGAATAATAGATGTACCAGTGCCAGTCGAGCTGTTACAAGATCAAAGGAGCACTTATATTAAGGCTGGTAATACTGCCTGGTTTGGCAAAAGGGCTGAGAATTTGTCTAGGGTTGTGGTGTATGTCCAGATAAACTGTCTTCCATTGTGAGGATCAGGCCTTTGAATTTAGTTGATGTGCAGTAGCATGGGTGTCAGTGACTTGGTGAATACGTAACTCAAAGGATGTTCCCTCCTTGCATGGGGCTTGAATGTGGTTCAGGTGTGAATGGTGCCATGCATGTAACTGGAGAGAGTTACAGTCTCTAAGTAGGGGGTTCAGTGTCTCATCGCATCTGGGTACCTTTATGGGGCATGTGTTTGTCAGACATGGACTTTGTGCTGCTTCTGTAAAGCAAATGTGATCATTAAGTTGAATTACGATGGACATTACTTTCCTTTTTTGGATTTAATGTATTCATGAATTTCTTGTCCAGTGGCCCCTCAGCAGCTTGCAGGCTGGATATGTAAATCGGTAGCTGCAGAGGATGACTGATCCTTTAATAGGTGGAATTTGATGCTCATAAAAATGAATGCTTTTAATGTCGCATGGCGATTTGCTTGAATTTTTAAGTTGCCTGAGGATCTTTTACTTGGAATTCAGTGGCTCAGGCTGCATTTGTTACAAAAACAATACAAATGGACAGGCTCTATGGTTTTAAAGGGGTGGCTGTTCTTTTGTCTGTGAGTATTGCTTACATTGTTTTTGTAACAAAAATTATTCCAAAGAAGCTGTGAAAATGTGAAACACAATGATACTTGAAAACAAAGCACTGCAGTTCAAATTCACTGTGTCCACAGAAATATGTGTTCAGATACTGTTCTTCAGGAAAAGCCAAGTTTTCTTGGATACGTTTTCATTATTAGGCTTCTATGGAGGGATGTACAGGACTAAAAGGATGCAGTAGGTCCTTAAAGTAGGTACAGATCTGCCACTGTGTGGTTTTAAACACAGTGAAATCCTGGCCCCTCTGAAGGGGCCCCCTTTGCTTCCTTTGGGCCCCATGCTAATTTCATTACTGATTTCAGCAGGGTAAGGACTTCTCCTGATTTGGATTTTACAGTGGTTCTTCAGGCATGCAGACCTTAGAATATTTGATTTATTTTGCTGAGGATTTTATTAAAACAAACCCAGGCAGCATGCACCCCTTCCCGAGAAAGTGTTTATGTGATAAATCTCATTTTTCAAGCACATGAGGTTGTGATGATGATAAGAGGCTGCAATCTGAAATCATTGTTGCTTGTCGCTTTTCCCTTGAGCACTAGGACACAAATACTTCAGCTCTTCATCATTTATTACAAACCTGGGCTGAGGAAGGACAGAAGCAAATACACAGAGAGAATGTTGTGTTACGCACTGTAAAACTGTGCCAAGGAGAAAGGAATATCCAGGCTCAAATTATCTCTTTCCCTGAGGCTTCAATGACTTATTTATTTATTTTTTCTAGGGTGGAATCCAGGCTTCAAGCCTAGCTAAGAGCCAGCATCTTTCTTGTCAGAAAAAATACTTTGCTAGCAAGTGTCTTCTCTGGTTACAGCCTCTCTAAATGATAATGATTTCAACTGAGTGGAGTTTGGCTGTGGGAAGTCTATCATTATTGTACTGATGTACGACTCTGTGAGTACCGTATCCACGAGGATGTGTGCCAGGGTTAGACCAAGCAGTGTTTCTATCTGGCAGTGTGAAGAAATGACCGTGGGTTGGCACGATTCTGGGAAGGCAGTGAAGGAACCCGATTTGCTGGGTGGGGGCAGCAGGAACAGAACTAAGGTGAAGGATCCGTGTCAGGTGGCTTGGGGTGCAGGTGGAACCTTTGTGGCGCTTCTGTTCAATACCATGGTGTTTGAAAAATCCCTAGAGGCAAGTAGAGGTGCTTGGTGATGATGTCCTGCCTCTTAAGTCAGCTAGTTGTGATGGCAGGGCTTTGCAGGCTGCTGCGCATTGGTATTAGCCTATATTTTACCTTGTAAAAATCTGCTGTGTTTGCTTGAAGGGCATCAGACAAGTATGCAGGCAAAACTCAGCTGCTTTGTGAAAAGAGCTGAGTCAAAAGCAGAGTTTCCCTTCTGTGAGGGGGAAATACCCAGACTCATGGTGCAAATACTCAAACCAGCAGCAGGTTTGTGCCTCTCCTACATGGGACAGAAATAATGCAGATCCCAAAGCAGCTTTCGCAGCTGGGTCACAGCTCCTTCCTTTCTCATCAGAACGAGTTGCGACACTGACTGTCACTGGCTTACAGCTGACACTGTAGGCGCACTGCCCCGTGAATGCTCATATGTAGAGTTACTGCAGGGCTCAGCAAGGCTAGAAGTCTTGTTTATGTGGCTTCTGTCCTGGTCCTCCTCACATCCTTAGTGTGATGAGCAGCACCCGGTTGAATTTGTTTTCTGTCTGTTCCTCCCTTGTCTTCGCTATCGTTAATTGTTAGCATCTGGATTGAAAGATTGCCTCTGAGTGTGGTGCTGATGGGATGTTTCCACAGGGGATTAGGGCTGGAGTGGATTGACAGGAGGCAATATCCTTGCCTATCACAGCTGGAAGTTTGCCAGCTGTGTGTCTGCTCATTGCTGCTGCTCTTCCAGTTACTCCAGTTCATGTCAGGGCACGGGCAAGAGTCGGTCACAGCTCTGCCCCCCCTTGCTGGGGCCAGCTGCTCAGGTGTGGCCCCATGCATGCAGCAGCTGTGTATGGCCTTCTGTAAGACTTTCAGCCTCTTTGCGTTGTCTGAACCATCCTGTGAAAGTGTTTCCCATACCTGGATCATCAGGTGGTTTTGTACTGTGCAGCACTTTGATCAAGGATGTGGGTAATAACAGCCTTGTGTGGCACTCTGGCAGCAGCTGAGAGGTTGTTTCTTACTGTAATGTGCTCCCCAGGTGGCTAACTTGTCTGTAAATCATGCAAGTGCTTCCTGGAGCTTTGCTTGCTTTCTGTTACCATCTTGGCTGCCAGGATTTCCAAAAGCACAGCCTCCTGCTCTTGTAAAGGCATTAAGTCTGTATTTCCAGTGCCCTGAAGCATAGCCAAGGGTCCCGCTAACCTCACTGAGAGGTTAACTAGGCCCTGAGAGATTGTGTTTGGCTTTTGCTTTGGTTCAGTTTCTTGTGGAGTCTGGTCTTTTCCTGTACATGCACAAGGAGCTGGGGAGAATCCCTGGGCATTTCGAAAGGCAGGAGTTTCCCCTGACCGTGGTAGTCTCCTGATCTGCCTCTAACAAGGTCTCGGAGACCCATATTGCTCTTTCCCAAAGGTGGCACGTCCTGCAGTAACCAAAGGGTATCTGTTACCTTGCGAGGACAAGGTGTGGTCTGGAGGCATGTTTGCTACTTGCTGCAAGTAGTACAAGTGATGATTTTTTTCCCCATAGTTAAGACAAACTGGCAGAAGTTTTCTGTGCTTTCAAGCTGTTATATTAGGGAAGGTTTCCATGTATGTTGATGCTGTCTACAGCTAGAGTTGTTGCAAAAATAAATAAATAAATAAATAAAAATGTTATCAGTTTAAAGGAGAACCTTGTATCTGACCTGTCTCTGACTCTGAATCTCAAAGATAGCCAAGTAAAAACAGCAGAGTTTGCACCAAGGGGCTCAATTTTTTTAGGACTTCTTGGAGGAAATGTTAAAAGATATTCACAGGGGTTAGGAACATTGTTGGATTTAATTTTATTTTTTTTAAATGAAAATCCCAGAAGCTGGGATTCCCCAGTCAATTTAAGCTCTTTGAGATGGCTCAAAGATTCTTTTATTTCTTTCATTAAAACCTTTCTTTTTCTGGCTTATGGAACCATGCAAGTAGGAATTACAACACTGCTTGTTATTTCGTTGCCCATCCCATCCGTTCTTCATCCCCAAATCCTTTCAGCTCTCCCTCCCTTCCCTCCCCATCTTGCCTTGAAGGGCTGGGAAAGCAGGCGCCGGCACATTATGCTGCCTGCCCGATTGTTGTGGGGTTGTGTTTGTGCGGGGAAGGTCACGAGACAAAAAGACCACCAGGCAGGGGCCTGCGGGGGGGAGGGTTCAGACCCTCTCCATTCTGTCCTTGTGGCGCTGGGTGGGAAGAGGCTTGTTTGCATGGCAGGATTTTGGGGGGTGGCTTTTTGTGGAGGTTTCTTCCACGGCTGCTGCATGGGCCCT